GTGTATATATACTGTATATATATATATACTGTATATAAACTGAAACAGCTGGACTAGTGCATCCTAAATTTAACATAAATTATTTTAATACGACAGTCATTTCTGCATTTTTTGGGGAGGTCACCTCCTAATAAATGTCATTACAGAAAATCTAACTGCTCATTTTAAATTAATACTTTTACTTTTGATACTTAAGTACAAAAAGTATCAGATACTTTAAGACTTTGACTCAAGTAATATTACTGAAGGAGACTACAGCTTTTACCAAAGTAATTTTTTGGTAAGATACTTGTGCTTTTACTCAAGTATCACTTTGTGGTACTTTATACAACACTGSAGATTGGAGTGGTCTTGACGTCTTTTCCAAGCTGACTAGATCACTTTTAACACASCACACATGGCAGAAATATCTCMGWAGACTTGTTTTTGCTGTGTGAACCCAGCATAACCTCAGTAGGGCCACAACCAAYGTGCATGCTGCTGCCTTAAAACTAAAACATGGGGATTTTTGATGATTTGTCTGTTTGTTATCAAGTTTCAGACTGAGACTGAAGCGCAGGCTTTCGCACACCATCCATCCTGTAATAGTTCTTTATAACTTTACGCTGTCTCACATTACAGACCATAATGTACATGTGATTCCTGATACATGACTGGTTTGATATCGCTGGATGGAGTTGCATTCAGGCTCGTTTTCTGGCATCTCAGCATTTTAGATTAAAGGTCGCAGGTCGTTCGCATCTTTCTTACTTGTCCTTGTCCAGCAGACCTGTATTTGTAACACAATCTTCCAACTCTGCTGTTTGCTCACAGACGGACAAATAAATACACAAAGACACACATTCAGTATAAGGTGGAAAGCTCACATATATCCTTGTCATATGATGTAGGAAGATAWTCAATTATTCATGCAGGACAAAACATTTTTTTTCTACATTTTCTTTCTTTAGATGTGAAATGAATACACAGCCTGTATCATTTACATTTCCGGAAATGTATTTTTCACAAAAAGACTTTCTTTTTTTTTTCTTTGTCACAGATGCTTGAATTACACAATTTCTCTGATTCACAGCAGACACACAAAGACTAGTTCCAAAGTGAACTAATGAATATAATGAATGTAAACGGTGATGTGCTTTWTAATGCCTTATGAGAATATAAAATGCTACCTTTACTATACCGCTGATTGCATTAGCCTTTTCCTTCTTTTATTCCAGTAATTTCACACAACAACGTGTGCTGAGTTGCTCTAAGTCACTTTTACAAGGCAAGACTCTTTCTTCCTCAGTGGACAACCAGGCCAAACAAAYTGAACGAAACTGGTTTCCCTTTAAAAATAACTGATTGGTAACAGCAAACTCAGCATAATGAGCGGGTTTCTCATTCGTCGCTCTATTAAAATGCCATCGCTGTGTGTGCCTGTGTGTGTGTCTGCAGACMCTGAAAGAGGCCAGTGAAAATGCCAGGAAGGATTTCCACCGTGAAGCGGAGCTGCTGACCAACCTGCAGCACGAGCACATCGTCACGTTCTACGGCGTCTGCGTGGAGAGCGACCCCCTCATCATGGTGTTTGAGTACATGAAACACGGGGACCTGAACAAGTTCCTCAGGCAAGGCTCTCCTCTTCATTGTGCTAAATGGCAACACAAACACAGAGCTATCAGCTCAAAGCAGAATCAGCAGTTTGGTGTTTCATTATTATTGCATTATAGAAAGCCACATGAAGGGTACAACTCTAAAAAAAACTCAAATAGAATGAAAATATCTTGTCTTCTCTGGCAGGGCTCATGGTCCAGATGCAGTTCTGATGGCAGAAGGCCAGACTACAAGACCTGTGGAGCTGACCCAGTCTCAGATGCTGCACATTGCCCAGCAGATAGCATCTGGTATGGTCTACCTGGCTTCACAGCATTTTGTGCACCGCGACTTAGCCACCAGGTGGGTCACTCACTATACTACTACTGAATCAGAAACAGAATCTTTATTGTCATTCACACACAACATCAAGATGCAGTGCCGAACGAAATTTACAGTTTAGAACATCCGTCCGAAAAGACACACACACACATGACAAACATGGGGGGAACGAATATCCAGGGTCTTTTGCAACTTAGTGTGCTACCTTTCCAGTTTAGAATACACACACAATAGGAAGGGTGAGTTAAAAAAAGAGCTTTGATCCTGTGTTTTATTCAGAAAAACACACAAGCATATGCTCAAAAAACTACTCTGCAACAGTGCAGTCAGCTAAGGGGGGGAGGGGTGGGGRCTCAACACACATGGGAATGGTACTGCTCGGAAAAAAATCTGATTATATTTGTTAAATAATGGTTTTTCTGTGCCCAGAAATACAGTCAGCTAAAAAAAAAACCTGAGGCCTTTAGGGGAATTATTGACCTTAAATTCAACAAATGTTTACGACTAATTTGTTGATTATTCCTTACAATAATTATACCACAATTTGGATTTGTTTGGGATGACTCTCAACCCAGACCACAACAACTTTTAGCTGTAAAACTGACAAACATTTGTGTGTTTGCTAAGGTCAGTTAGCTGAGGTGGTCATCTTAAATCAGCCTGTTGTAAATGTAAATTCAATGATTACTTTCTAAAAGTTTGAATAAAATTTGTTTGCCAGTTCTTTAAATATTTTATGAACAGTCGCACACCTGCCCACACAGACACACGCGACCACTTGATCGTCCGCCTTTATTTTGTCAACCATGTTTCTGTTCCAAAGATCCAGAAGTGTGACTCCAGTTATGTGACTCATTTAACCTTTGAGAACAGATATCTTGCTGGTGTTGTTCTGTATTTAGTTTATTTTCTGTTTTATTTTTTTTATTAAAAGGAACTGCCTGGTTGGTGAAAACCTGCTGGTAAAGATCGGAGACTTTGGCATGTCCAGAGACGTCTACAGCACTGACTACTACAGGGTAGGTGTATGTGTCGACATCTTTTCTGGCCCTTCTTTCAGCCCCCTCATCCCCACCCTGCTTCCAGCTGCATGGGTCTTTCTCCGCTCCCCCCTTCACCCCTGCATGGGCATGACTGACAGAGTCCATCAGCCCTGCAGCAGAACAGCTAATTGACACTGAATACAGCTAAATGTACTTTACGTGTGCATACTTAAAAAGACAGAAAAATAATAAGCATGATGCATAATATTTAGACATTTTAGCACTTAAACCTGTTACACAAAAACATGCTTTAAGGGTTGAATGAAAGACACACGTTCCCTCTGTGCTGCATCTTTTTGTAACACTAAAAACCTTATTTAGGCTAAAAGAACCGGAGAGCCTCCACAGAACAGCAGCCATCAGGTATTTTGTAAAAAGAGCTAATTCAAAAACAAAGAAGGAGGAATAAATGTTTACATTCAGACACAAGGTGATGATAAAACACTTTTTTTTTTACATCCCACAGTGTTGTTCAGTGGAGTAAAGATAACAAAATGCTATAAGAGTAAATAGAGTGTAAGTTTGTGTATTCCCCCCTGCTGTCCAACAGTCTATCACTTTCCCAAAGGGCCAAATCCTAATAAACTGTATTGACTGATCGATAGTGACTGTCCATTTTTCCAGCCCCCTCGCCCATCYGCCCTGACACACTGACATGACTGACGGTGACAGATAACTCCGAGGAGGCGGGAGGAGGAGGGGACGAGGGAGCAGCAGTCATTCAATGACAAGAAAAAAGCTCTATTTGAGATAAATAATGCCTTTTAACAACCGGAGTCTGAGGAACGTTGATCCGTAAGACATGTAAATGACAGACGGCTCAGTAATTCCACTCATTAAAAAGTGCTGACAGCCAGCTTAAAATAAATAAATAAAATGTCTATAATTCAGTGAATTTTGCAGATATTCTAAAATTTAGGGTGGTAGTAGCTGAGCGTGGTCCCAAACAAATACTCTAAGCGTTAACTAATTACACAAAATCTTTGTTTACATTTTGACTGTCAACTATTTCKAGACCACTTTGTCTTTCTGTTAGCAAAATATCTCATAAACCACTCAACAAATTTTACGGAACCTTTCAGGAAATGATCATGGGACACACATCACCTCTGTAATAGATTAACCTTGAAYGTGCCCGTGACGTGTATATCCTTCAAATACAGAAAGTCACAGAAAACAACTTTATATATAAGAAACCTTGCATAATACACATGATTTTACTCATTTTGTCACATAAATCGCATATTTTTTTTGAACTTGGCTCAGCTAAAGTGAAACAGGAAGTGACATCAAAGGGGAACTCTTTAAGAAAGACAACTGTGGTCTTTATTGAAACAAGCTTTAAACTTTAACCGTTCATCTCTCTGATGGTGACTCAAAATAATCAAACATCAGATTCTTCTCTACAGTCTCTGTTAGTTGTTGTAGCAACGCTCTGTTCACATGCAGACATTCCCCTTTGACGCCACTTCCTGTTTCTTCACATGCAACTATCTCAACAACAGTTCATCTCAGCAGTGTGAAATTAGTTTTGCAATATGTTATTAATGTTATCTTCCTAAAAATGTGTTCATATTTATTACAAAAATTTGATGTCACAGGCAATTTAAAGTTTATCCAATTCAAGATGGCCTCCACACCTAATCAACATAAGCAAAGACAAAATGGCTACAACTCAGCCAGTTTTAAAGATATTAAGCACATAATTGGTGAAGTATTTACTGAGAATTATCCCCAACGTGTACTTAAAAAATACATACACACTATATGTATATCCTGTTTTTTAATTACAGAAAAGAGCTGTGAGAATTATTACTGGAAAACTGTCGTCACCCATCAAATTCATTATTTTGTAAATTGAAAATATTGAAGTTCTTTGATTTGGTTGATTATAATATTCTACTGGTTGTGTATAAGGCCCACAAAAACACATTACCTTTAAACATCCAAGTAAAATTTGTTAAGAGAAAGAGTTGTTATAACCTTAAAGGGACAGAGATATTTGTAAAACCCAAATTCAGAACTAGTTTGAAGGAACGGTTTACTTTAATTCAAGGATTAAAACTATGGAATAATTTGGGGAGTGATGTAAAAAATGCAGGATCATTATGTACATTTAAGACGATGAGAAAAGTTGGATTGCTAAAGAAATACAAAACAGTATAAGGTGTATGCATCTATTTAAATTGTTGTTCTAGAGGAATTAGATGTTCTTGTCTTTTTTATTAATAACATAGATTTTTTTTGTTAAATGAACTTATTCAAGAAAAAAGGGGCAGATATAAGATTTTTTCTTCTCTCTGCTGCCTATCATTTAACTTATTTGCGATTTTAAAATACATTTATATATTTTCTCTTATTTTTCTTTTTGATATTTTTATTTTAAATTGTATATAAAATTATTTGTTTTGTTTTAAAATATGTATGTAAAATATGTAATATATATATATATATGCATTTTGCAAAGATTTGTTTACATTAAATTTAATGGCTTACTAATACAAAACTAAAGTTGCTGTGTTAATAAAGAGGTATCATTTAAAAATATATTTGTATCAAATTAAGATATGTACATTTATTCTTCCTGTTTTTCTTCAGCACAGTCTCTGTGTGACAGCACATAGCAACCTCCTCGCTCCTCCTCCTTCCTTTCACCCCACCTCTCAATAATGCCAAGTGCTGAGGCTGTAGTCATGGCAATGGGAAACTGTTGAAGGTAGTGGCGGTGAGCCTCAGAGCTGAATCTATCATTGCTCAGGAAGAAAGGTAATCAGAGAACTTCTGCTTAGTATGCTGAGGCCGTCGTGGAGGAGCGGAGAGAGGGAGATGGGAAGGAGCCGAGGCAGGACGGTGGCAGAAAAGATGAGAGGAGGAAGAGAGAGAGAGAGAGAGAGAGAGAGAGAGAGAGAGAGAGAGAGAGAGAGAGAGAGAGAGAGAGAAGAAAACAAGAATGCCAGACACAGAGAAAAGACACGACTAAATAAGGAAAGAAAAAACTGATAACAGAAAAGGAGTGGAGGTGGGAGAGAGATGTTCAGGTCTATAAGACAGCCTATAAAATAGTCAGCAGGAAACAAATAATACAGGAGAGCCACAGTATCTCTATCAGAGGCAGATAAAAACAGCAGGAAATGACAAAACAAACACACAGAGGCCAACAACAACAACAGCTCGGTGAGGGATCCGCACAGGATGGTGGCTGTGTTTCGGGCTCCGCACAGAGACAGAGGTGTGTGTGTGTGTGTGTGTGTGTGTGTGTGTGTGTGTGTGTGTGTGTGTGTGTGTGTG